TGTTTGCAAAGGTGAAATATGTAAGGTCGAGGTTCCCAATAGAAGTTTGGTAAAATTCTGATTAGTAAATGTGTTGTTTTCTTTCCATGACAAAATAGTACTGTAGATCCGATATGGCGCCTGCATAATGCAGGGAGCCGATGGACCACACAAAGAAATCTGCTCATTGTTCATAGCAAGGGTTATACTTACTAATATAAACTTAGGGATACACTTAGACCCCATTCATACCAAGGACGTTATATCAGAACCTTGTTGAAGCTCCGTGTTCATATAGATCACTGAATGACTAGAAAACGTTGATAAACATTCACTCAATAGTAGTTTGCTAGACATTCCGTTTACAACAAAAGAAGTTCTCGATGGTTTAAAACAATTAAAATCTGGAAAAGCCTGTGGAATAGATTCTATTTCTAACGACATGCTAAAACACGTAACATACTCAAGACAATTATGTTTATCATTGGTAACCCTTTTTAATACTGAATGCACCTTTCCGTCTGACTGGAACACAAGCATCCTAACTCCAATTTTTAAATCAGGTGACAAGTCCTACGTTTATAATTACAGAGGAATCGCTCTATCTAGTTGTCTGTCGAAATTGTTCTTTTGAATACCAGACTACAAAACTTTATAGAAAACAATAATCTGTTAGCCGAAACACAGTTTGGTTTAAGAAAGAAGTACTGAACCGCCGACAATGTCTTTATTCTAAAATCCCTTATTGAAAAATATACAGAGAAGAACAGACAAAGACATGATTCTGAGATAGGCGTCTGGATTTAATCTAGAAAAGGATAATTTTTGAATCAATAACATACGCCTCTTTTAAGCCATACCAGAATTTGATATTATTGACATACGTTTTCAAAAATTTCTTCTTGGAGTCCATTCAAAATCATCTAATGACGCTGTACGAGGAGAATTAGGATCTTTCCCCATTATGATATCTGCTAAAATTCAACTCATTAAATACTGGCACCGTTTGATAAACTTACCTGAGGACTCTCTGCTTCATGATGCATACAAAACTGTATTTGCTGATGACCACGACTGGATTAATCATGTTAAAGATACTCTCAACTACCACGGCTTTGGACATATATGGATGAAACCTGAAGCTTATAAAACAGATTATATTACACACCATCTTCGCCATCGGCTACAAGATACACATATACAAGAGTGGTTTAGCTGCATTAGAAATAATTCTAAGCTGTCTTTTCTTAGCAAATTAAAAAAAAACTGTTATAAACAAGAAACATACTTTTGTGATATAAATAAGTTTGGAATTCGTAAAGCAATAACTCAATTAAGAATGGTTTCTAGATAGTAATTCTATGTTTAGGTAGATTTCAGGAGGGATCATTGTTTTCTAACCAGCGTTTCCCCTCGCTCTTCTTACACACGGACATTAAAAACATGCGTGAATCTCTCAAATCGCGCACTTGCGAAACAATAAACATGTATGGTGACCCCTAATTGTTTGGCAGTACTTGCGACGAGTGACATGTGCAGATCCGTAAATTCGCGTACACATGGGTAATGGACCTATCATATTATTACTTCACAGTTTGTTTCGCAATGAATGCCATTCAATCGACGTTTATATTGTACAGGGGTGCGCAGCGCGGTGTGTGTTTGCGTAGCATTAGCCTGATCTAGAAATTTGTGAACGGGGGGCGCACCACCTGACGTGGCCGAAGGCAACGTAAGCGCTGCCCAGAAAATTTTTAAAATCAAGAGTCTCTCTGGTGTATAGAGTCATTTCTGAGCAAATAACCAACGATCTAATACTAATTTTTTCAGTATGCATCTATGTTTGGGACGAGTAAATTTCACGAAACGGGGCAAATAAAGAGTTCGCGATGGATTTTAGTTAGCGAAAAAAAGAACCAAATACAAAAGGAAATGCCGCCGCTTTATAGACAGGATCACGTAAATCATTTTTTTGATCGCGGGGAACGCGCGGTCACAACATCGCAGCACTCAAATACACTAACGGATAACACTAATGTGATGACATGTGAAATAACGGCCGTGGCGACGGAGCGCCGGGCACGTGTTTACCATTTTCAAGAGTTCAAAAATTTTTTAGGAGAATACGAAATTCTGGAGCGCCGGGTGTCAGCGGACACACATTGAATGGGGCCACCTTGCCTGCTGTAACCTGACCGGACCACGGAAAAGTTAGCTCGGCGTAGTTTATCAAAAATTCGATTGACCGCCCATCGGAGAGCAACGATTATCGAGGCGGAGAAGTGAGCCTGTGCGACCGG